AAGGAAAGGAAAGGAAAGGAAAGGAAAGGAAAGGAAAGGAAAGGAAAGGAAAGGAAAGGATGAAGAAGGGAAGGGAAGGGAAGAGAAACAGGAAAAGGAAAAGGAAATTCTTCCACAATGACTTCTGATGGAAAGGAAGGGAGCAGAGAAAGAGAGAAGGGAGGAAGGTAAGAATAGAGGCCAAAAAGCAATCAAGGAAAAGTGAAAAACACTCACTGAAGAACACTTTCCATCTCCGTGAAACTTTCTTAAACAAGGTTAATTCTCCAGATGTTGAACCTCCACTCTGGGAGGACCAAGAAAACTTTGTTTTCTTTTCATTTACAGGTAACTAGAAGGTCCACAGAGAAGCGCCTCTCCTCCCTCTGCCTGTGAAATCTGGAGCCCTAATGCCTCAGACCCCGAGGCTGGCTTCAGACAACACGTGAACACCCAGCGTGGTTTTTACTGGCTTGGGGCTGAGCACGTCACACGAACCCAGATCTCTGAAGCAGGGCTGGTGGCTTTACAACAGATGGGAACCCAGCCATGGTGGTTTATCCAACAAACCATGATGGAGCATGTGGCAGACCCAGCCAGAATAAAAACCCTTACATGTTCATTGTCTAAGGATCTTTACTTAGAAATAAAGTCATCGACAAACAGGCGGGCAATCTTCCTTCCTATAAGTGGATGGGGGGCCTTGACCCAGGAGCCAAAGATAGCTAGAAGGGGGGTTAGAAGCAAAAGAGAAGATAAGCTAAGAAAAGGATCAAGTCTTGAAGGCAGCACATTTGGGTCAAAAACTGGAGAAGAAAAGGCCTCTTACCTCCGTAGTAACTGTATGGAGTGGTACCCAGCATCTCGGATTCATCCAGCCGGCCCCCCAGAGGACGCATGCGCCGAGGACTCCGGAAGAATGCATGTCTCCGGGCGCCCAGTGCGCTCAGTTGCTTCATTCTGCGCTCTTTGGAGCGCCGGTTCTGGAACCAAACCTGTGGGTGGGGGGAGATGGTAAGATGGGGGGCTCCAAGCAGACAAGCACCCCTCCAATGCAACCCCCCCCCCGTACCCCAGGAACATGCCTGCCACCAAAAAAAGGGTGGGAAAAAACCCCATGGAGATCAGGGGAAAGCAATAGAATTGGAAACAGAGAATTCTTCCCAGAAAGCAACGGGGTTGAGCTTGTCCATACTGCTGCGTTCACGCAACAAGCTAAGACTGGTTAGTCTTGAATGCATCTGTTGAGGGAAAGGAGGTTATAGCTAGGCAGATTTTGACAATCCCACCCATTGGGTTAGTTGGTGGTTTGGGGTGGGCGAACTCAGAAAAGGGATAAACTCAAGACCTGGGTTAAGCGTGTGGCGAGAAGGTGGCTATAGACTCCTGACCTTGACAGAACATTAATCATGTGCAAGGGGGATGAGAAAAGACCTAGGGAGGTGCTGTGTGAAGGATACTGTTTGAAAAGGGGCTCTGTTTTGAGAGAAGTGCTCAGACGTTAAGCCAGCAAGTTCCTCCAGCCATGGAATTTCCTTCTTTTGCTCCTCTGTTCTGCAAAGTCTAGAGTTCTAAACAAGGCTTACTTGGAGGTAAGCTTTGTGGAACACAGGCCAGTTTACTTCTGAGCAGCCACACAGGGATTGTTCTATGAAATTCACCTCTCTTTCTTTCACCCCTAATCCAGCTGGGATGCCTCCAGACCAGTATAAAGATGATCTCCAGGTGAAAGACTGGGTTCTCAAAGTATCTTGAGCTGAGAAGTGACCAAGCCCATTTCAGCTTTGAGGGCATCCGATCGAATCTGAAACATCTGTGTTTGGCTCAAGGATAACTAGAAAATTGTGTTCACTGTATGTCCCCCGGGGTTCAACTAACCACGGGTAGTGTGTTGGTGAGCATGTCCTTGTATGCTGGCTATGTTTGCATGATAGGCCTATCCATGGTTTAGGGTTGACTCAACTGTCCACTTTTGGACAACTCATTGACTGGGGTTGGGGGAGCACATTGAACCTTAACCTAACCACAAGGGGCTAGGGTTAACTCAAATATGGTGGACTAGTTTGTGGCTCTGGGTGCGATGGGGACACAATTATCCTGTGATTTCCTCAATGTTGGCCTAAGGTGTCTTCTTTTCCTAAACCACATTTTGGGCTTAGCCTCTTGAGGAAACCCTGCTGATTGTGGTTTAACAAATTCTTAGGGAAGGACATTACTACTTAGCATGCCATTCTGAAAGCAAGGAAGATAACAGTTTGCAGTTCTGTGTGTGTATGTGCATGTACGCGTGCGACAATTAGGAGCATGCAACACTTCCACAAAGGGGAAGAAAGTGGTTGCAAATTGCAGGTGCAGAAAAGCCAACCCATTCCTAACGCATGTGGAATTTCTTTTCCAGATTTAGCTGAAGTTCCTCTCTTCTAAGAAAAACACTGAATACACCAGCTCAATCTCTCACTCCCCTTTGCTGGTCATAAATTAATTTCACTTTGATTATTTCCACACGAGCTAATGATTTCAGAAAGTGGGGTGTGTATTCACAAGATTCACTGAGCCATAAGCAAACTGGCTACGTTTTAACGATGTTGGGTGGGCTAGACCCAGCCTTTAGGGCTAATTTGGGGGAGGGGGGTTGAATCCAAGTCATTGGACTAGTCCATAGTGAACTTAAACCTAGGCAAGCAGTTGGGGGAATCCAGCTGGATGGTTTCTTCAAGAGGGTCCATGCTGAGGTGCCAAGCAAAAGAAGAGTTCTGGAAAGATGGAAACCTTTGGAGTCTTGGCCCATGGAGCTGAACGATCTTCAGATAAACAACAGCTTTCCTAAGGGACCAGGAACACACATCTGGAGATCTTCCCCATCAGCCATCCCATGTTGGGTGGAAAAGAAGGGAACTGTAGTTTCCCACCTGTGGAGGGTACTAGTTAAGGGGAAAAGTTGATCTTTTAAGGGCCACTAGAGGCAGAAAAGTCCTCATTCGTGGCCCTCAGGGCCTAACTTCTGCAGCTATATTGCCTCTGAATCTTGAAGCTCCACTGTCTTCAGTGGGTAGCAGACAGTAGGAGTGGAACATGAAGGACAGGAGCAGTCCTACACAGTCTTTAGCTGTTTCATAGAGATGAGCCTCCTCTTGGCAAGCTGGCACATCAGGAAGAAATCAGAGCAGATTTGCCTAAGAAATCTGCATTCCAAAAGAGACCTGGTGGTTGAAACAGCTCTTTCCATAGACTTCAGATGATCTGGTGGTCTTGATTTATTCCTGGTAGCCTCTTTTTCTTCTGGCCAAACAAGTCCCAGTTGAAACATCACCTCCGCTGGTCTTGCAAAAGGAAGAACTGCAAACAGAGCCTTAAAAGGCAAAGGGAGGGAGGGGACCCTAACAATTAATGGGGGAGACCTTGCTTTCTTCTCCTTTTTAGTATAAACTGGACCTGGTTGAATTTCTGGCATCTCTTCCTTGGAGGTGCATCCCATTCAGTACTGTGGAATTTGTCCTGGGGAAAAACGTGCATAGGAGCAGGTCTATGTGGACTTGTGATGGAATGGAATTATGAAGGCCAAGCTCGGGGAGATAAACATTTTGATTGATGTCAGGCCTAGCCCAAGGAACTCCAAGAGACAATGCCAGATTCAGTCTCATCCTCTCGTTCCTCCCATGTGGTTCTGGCAAGCTAAGAAAATGTTTATCTCCCCAAGCTTGGCCTTCATAATTCCATTCCATCACTGAACTCAAGCTTTGCACTCAGGTAGCCACCATTCATTCCAATAGCTCGTCCATCCAAACCTTGCTGGTCTTTCACTATTCCCAGTCACAGAATCACAAATGTTGAGAAGAGGTCTCAGAAGTCACATACTCCACCCCTTGCTCAGTCCAATGGGCCTTTCCCAGAAATCATAACCAGCTTTCAGAGAGCTCTTAAGTATGTCAGCTATGGAATACACCTCCTACATGCAACTGGACTTTGCATTTAGAGGACAGGGGCCAGGAAGAATGGGTTTCACCCGTTCCTCCCTCTCCAACAAAACCTAATCATCTGGTAGGATGTCACATGCTCCTGTCCTTCATGTTCCACTCCTACTGTCTGCTACTCATGTCGATTCTGTTTTTTGTTAAGGTGACTTCCTAATATTCCATTCTTAATTAAAACAGTTAAGGGTTTGGCTCTCAAAATATTTCCTGGAAGACAAGAGTGATAAATGATGATTGCTGGCTGTAAAAATCCTTTTGGGATGGTGCCTGAAGATTTCCAAGTTTGACAAGCTCACTGTCAACATTTCTGGATGGTTCTCATTTTCTCTCTCTCTCTCTCTCTCTCTCTCTCTTTTTCTGAAAGAAAAGTCCTTGGTGATGGCTCAGCACAGGAGAGCCTTTCCAGATGCCCATGGTGAGAAGTGATGATATAACCTGGAATGTGTAGAAACGTTTCCCCTTTCTGTAGACAGAAAGGCACGGTTGGAAAGGACGTGGAGGAGGCTGAATTCCAAAGGGCATTAGAACCATGAATCAGAATATCTCTGGGGTACAATAAATGCCCAGAAAGAAGCCAAAAAAATGATTGTCTAGTAGATGATGGGAAGCAATCATTCCAGCTGGGCACCTTCAAAACTCTGTTATAACAAAATGGTAATTTATCTTACCTGGATGACTCTCATGTTGAGCCCCGTCTCTTGAGCTAGCTGTTCTCGGATATGTCGGGTGGGTTTAGGGGTGGCTGCAAAAGCTGCCTTGAGGGTCTCCAGCTGCTTGGCCTTGATGGTGGTTCGGGGTCCCCTTCTTTTGGTTCCAGAGTTCTGCTCCTCATTTTCGTTATTGGTGGTTTCTTTATCTGAGGAAGTGGAATTGTCCGTCTCCTTTGTATCATCCTGCATGGGGTCCTGAATATCCGGAGATAAACTTCGGTCGGTACAGGAAGAAACTGTTGGGGAAAAGGAAGAATGGTCAATATGTGGAGAAAGAAGGAGCAAGGAGCATCAGGGGGGTAACTTAGCCAAAGGAAATAAACTTTGCCCAGTACTTTTATGGGAAAGTCAGAAGAAAATCAACTTAGTCCTGGTCTCATTCAGCAGAATGGAAAGGGAGACTCTAAATGCAACAGAGCCACCTTGCAAGATTTTGAAGCAAATGAGGGAAGACAAGACAAGTCAGGAGTTCTTTGACTCGGAAAAGAAGACAGATATTCTAACAGGGCATCCCCTTGACTTTTTTTTTGAGGAGCTCTGCCAAGATGAGAACCCCCAAATCTTGCTATCAGTGAATGAACCTACTATCAGGTTCCTTGGAAAGAAATATCCAGGGAGAAAAGGGTCTTTATGTTCACAGAAAAGGATGTAAGTTGCTTTGAGAGGATAGAGGAACATTGCAAAGGCAATGGGAAGGCAATCAATTAATTGATTCATTAATGAATCAGACAAACAAATAAAGCTGTGGAAAAAGAGGGTTTGGAAGCAGAGGGTAGCAGCCAACCCACTGAGCTATTTAGAAAAGCCATCGCCAGCTGGTGCTCTGTAGATGCTTTGGACAACAAATCCAAGAAGCCTCAGCCAGGCTGTCTAACTTGATGATATGAAGTATATTCTGATGCACTTGGAGGTCTGGTTGAAGAAAAGTTATTCTTGTCCTCTTGAAATAGGAGGGAGGGAGGGAGGGAAGGAGGCAGGCAGGCAGGCAGGCAGGATGGAAGGAGGGAAGGAGGGAAGGAGGGAAGGAAGAAAGGATAGATAGAAAGAAGGAAGGAAGGATAGAAGGAAGGAAGGAAGGAAGGAAAGAAGGAAGGAAGGAAGGAAAGATCAGTCCAGTGGTGGGGCTGGGAGGAAAGGGGATCCAGGATGCTGGTTTTTCGTGAGGACTAAAATCCAGTTATACAATTTGTGAAATAAAAGGAGAAAAATGATCTTGGCTGGCTGCCAAAACTAAGTGAAGTCAGAGCTAGCTAGCACTTGGATGGGAGACCACCAGGTGTATGGCAACCCATTTCCATATCACTGCCAAGAAAACTACATGGACATGTTCATGAAGTCACCAAGAGGCAGAGCAAAACTGGAAGGAATCTTCACTTTCAATTTGCAAAGTATTGGATCCTTATCTCTGTATCTTTGGCAGGGCCAACAGCCCCCTTAAACTTGCTGCTTGATTGATGTGTGACTACTCTGATGCCAGGAGATACATGTGTGTGGGGACCACTCCTGGCTGTCCCCCCCCCCCAAAGGCTATTCTTGCATGAGAACAGCTCTCATTCCCCTCCTCTCCCCACTAGCATGCCATGCTTGCTGAAGAGGATGGGGGTCATGGGGTGGCCCATCTGGTGGGGAGAAGGTTAGGCAAGGCTGGGCTGGAAAAAGAAATGGGGAGCGTCTGAAAAGCAGCAGAGACCAGGAGGTGGTTTGGCAGATGCCAAGGTCTAAGGGGTTCTATGGAGAGAAGCCCGTTTTCATGCAGATGGTGAGGGTATCTGTGGTGTTCAGGGTAACTTCCCAAACCCCCACTTCTCTCCCCACATTAGTAAAAAGACAGCCAGTGATGGACAAAGAGGAGGAGGTGGGGCAGACTGGAAATGCACCTGATCCCAAATCACAATTATCTTGGCTACACTCTGGCCAACAGCCAGGCAGAGAAGCCTCCAAGCCATCTGAAATTCTGCTTTCCTCATTTCACAGCCATCCCTCCACACTTGCAATCTTGGTTAAACTTCTCATGAAATAGAAGCTCATGATGGTTTTGGAAAACCTGCTAGGTTTGGGCTGAATGAAGATAGTGTGGGATCCTGACAGAAAGAGGACAGGCCTAATAGGAATATAATGGAGAAAGAAAGAAAGAAAGAAAGAAAGAAAGAAAGAAAGAAAGAAAGAAAGAAAGAAAGAAAGAAAGAAAGAAAGAAAGAAAGGAAGGAAGGAAGGAAGGAAGGAAGGAAGGAAGGAAGGAAGGAAGGAAGGAAGGAATCCTGATTTGTAGAGAAGATTTGTAGAGAAGATTTTCCCTATTCTACCAAAAAAAAAAAAAAAATAAATCTGAAAATGAGATCTCGGAGCATCTCCCTTCTTCTTCTACATTTATTCTTCCACTGTTTAACCGAAAATCACAAATGCTTGGGTAGGAACATTTCTTATACCACAAGCTTATGGATGCTTGCCTATATCTCCCCAACTTCAATGAGTCCTACTCTTAAGTAAGCGTGACTTTGGGGAAGACCCTCCCC